CACTTTGAGTGCATGTCGTGCTGCACTGAGTTTTGCTGTTTTCTTGCTATTGCCGAAGCCCATACCAAGCACCACAAATTCATCATCTGAATATTAAAAAAATGGCAAAAAGACAGGAAAAGACAAAAAAAAGCTAATTTTGCTTAACACACCAACAGTATTTTTTAACTTTTACTTCAGTTACTACCGTTCGAACATTCCAAGTTTTATGTTGCCAAGGCCTAGCTGTGCCAAGATATCGAATCCGGTGCTTTACCTTTAAATCTATTCAAAGTTCCTTCAAGGTGAATTAAGCCACAGCTTGGTCAAAAAGGAACAAGAGCCATATTTTAGGCCAAAAATCGATTAAGCAGATAATTAGAAACAAAGAGCGCTGGCTAAAAATATGCCTGGCACCCGGGAATCAGCCGTTGCTATCCTCCCAAAGGGAAAACAAACACTGATTTAATGATGTAACTTTTAAAGCACCTTCATTAGGTTCCTCGCCGTTTTCCCGCAAACGCTGTTCGCGCATTTGTTTTTCCTGTAGAAGCATCAGCTTCTCTCGGACACTTGATGCATACAGCACTCTGTTGTTCTGATTGATTTTTAGACGAGCCGAACAAACAAAAGGCATTGCTGAGTTCCTGAAAAAACCAACCAAAATAAGAATTATGTCTAAATACATCGCCACAAGGCAAGACAGCCGAAGGCAACGGAAAAATTTTATACCTTGTTTCTGAGAAAACATAATTTATCGTGCTTTTTAGCACTTTTTGCACATATTCATGCAATACGCTGACCGACGTTTTGCCCTGTGGATTGAGGAAAAAGCTACGATGCTGTGGCTTCTGATTTGCTTCCATTGATGGCACAGTAATTAGCTTCACATTCGAAGAGAGTGCTGAAAAAATTTCTGCCAAAAATGAGCCTGTTTTTCGAATAAAGTAACACTGTTTGACTATTAATTACATAATTCAGTTAAAGCCAAAATTCCTACCATATTCTCTACAAGAGGAAAAAACTCTCAAAATCATCACGGTTGTAACTATCCGAAAGCAATTCTTGCTTATAAGGAGGCTGAATACAGCTTCTGACTCCCTGCCAAGTCCAGTACCAATTTACCATCGAAACGAATGAACGAATCGCAACGAGCTTTTACGTGTTCCTCAAGTAACATATTCACGTGCGTGTGAATGTGAAAAATTATGACAATACACTGAACAGAAGCCCAATAGAGGTCAAAAGCAAAGAAAATTTAGCAAAAAAGTCATAAATTTCTCATTCCTCCGGCCTTAGCACATATACTTCTTCTTAGTTTTTCTTCAAGACTACGCAGAAACAGAGAATTTTACGTTAAAAAAATTAAATAACAGAATAAAAGGGCATTACATGGACGGTCAAGTGAAACTTCAATGGCTGCCGACGTTTTTCCCATTCGTTCTGCCTGGGCAAGTTTACGTTGCCGATGAAAATCACGGGTTGCAGACCATTTATTAAAGCGAACTGTCTGAACATAAACAAATTTGATTCAAAAGTATAAGACAATAAAAAAAAGAGGTCGAAAGATTCCATTACCGATAATACAAAAATTGGAGAAAAAACTGGGTGTAGAAAACCACAGAAACCGCGAAAAATAGGAAAAAATATGAAAACTGAGAAGCTAAAACATCGAAGAATAGTAAAATCGAGAAACTAAGATAAAAAAAAATAGAAAAATAAAAAGGTCGGGAAAACAGAGACGTTGGAATGCAAAAAAAAAAAGAACATAAAACATAAAAGAGAAAAAAACAAGGAAATTGAATAATGGAGATGGGAATACAGTAGCACATACCGGGACATAAGTGAATTGAAAGTTATTTTTGGCATATTCATATAACGCATCTCCGTCCAGCTGCTCCTTCTTGTAATCTTGAACGGACTGAAATCAGATCTGAATGACGGTATAAAGCCAATGCAATACTCTCTGAACTTACTGCGATGGTATGGATGTGTTATATAAGGAATCTCCAGCTGACCCTAAACTATGGGAGGGGGACCAGGGGAGAGGGAGGCGGCAGGCAGTAACGAATAGAATTTTCTACATTAAAATGGCTGCTACCTGAGCTTCTTCCCCCCTCCCCCTTGGATCCACCAATGCTTTTGCGGCGGACATAACAATGAAAACCAACTGAACACTGCCGACCTGAACTTTGACCGGAGGAGCATGGATTCGAGCGATAATATCTTCAGCCGAGTTTGCTCCACCTTCGGCCGCATTCTTGACTCGATCAGCCTGCGCCGCAGCGGCTTCTTCCATTTCTTTTCGTACCCGTTTTTGATGTAGGCAGGGGATTGCCGAAACAGGCACAGCGTGATTTCGCGCACTGCCTCTTCCAATACAGTATGGACGTGAAAAAGTACATACCCGTGATTTTCGCTCCTGAAATGCCGAGAAGTCAGCATGCTCAGTAGCAGTAGTAAAAATTTACGTCAAAAGAAGCCAAGAAGCGTACAGAAACAATGCTTTGGCGTTTTTTTCGAGTAAAAATTGAGGTTAATCTAAGCTCTTAAGTTTTCTGTGAAACACTTTTAGTGCATTCTTTGCCCCTCCTCCCTCTTTCCCCAAAAATTCTGAAGCTAGCAACTAACAAACTTAACAACTTGTTGGGTGGGTTTTTTAAATCGAATGAAAAGAAAAATCGAACCACATAGACGGGAAGACCACTGCAATGCGTCACTTCCACCCATCCTTCAGGCAAACATTCAAACGGCGTTGTTACGCGATGTTTCAGCACTCGTTTTTGCCGTTTCTCGCCACCTTCCGGCAAAATCACGCTACCAACATTCGCTTCCTCCACTGGCTTTTCGAGCAACGAATCAATATCCTCCTCGTCCTCACTGTCATCACTGAAGCATAAATATGCAAGTGACAGATTTAGCTAGCAATCTGACAATATCCGGTCGATCTGAGGCAATTTCACTTATACCGCCATTGAAAAATTTAACAGATGTGCCAAAAATAAATAAAAACAGATTCCAATAGCACATTCGTATTTGGGGAAAAATCGGTACCGCATAAGAAACATCGCTGAATCTTCAAGTGGCTAAAGTCTCGTCAAAATGCTATTGTTGGCCAAGTCAAGAATCCCTTCAGAAGACGAAAAGAACATCCTATTTGCCAAAAGGCTGGCCATTAGCTGGTGCAGTATTGGTCAAAACAACTGTTAAATGAAGAAGGAAAATGGCAAGGTTGCCTATCATGCCAAAGATGAATCAATGGTGAATTACTGCCGGCTGTTTCAGGTATCAAGTATGAAAAAGCACTAGCTGATCATCAAAAAGCTATGGTAGAACTTACGACATAAAAATATTTTTTTCATCCATGTTACTTTTCTCATCATGTTCGCTTGTACCAGTGATTTCGCAGCCTGAAAGCAATTTATCTGCTGCTACTGGACTGTCTAAGTACAGTCAAGCAAAACGAGAGGTTACAGAGTAACTTTTTTAATTCTTTTAGATTTGAAAACTATCTCTGATGGATCGCTTTTTTTGAAAATTATGCTCCTAAAAAACAACTTAGGCTTCATTTACGAACTTTGGCGCCCTTCCGGGTAATACCCTTAGCTATGGGGGCCGCTGTTTCGGCCCTCTGTTCTTTTCCCTACAAAGCCCTTCTGGCCCGTACTGGCTTTTGTAGAGATTCACAAACAGTTCTAGTGGGATTCCAGCTTCCCCACCAGTTAACTTGCGTTCTATCTAAACTGTTTAGCC